GCTAGGTTGGTTTCTCCCCCCAGTGCAATATTTAAAAGTTGTTATAACCATGTGTGAGAGACCAGTGCATGAGCCCTGGCAGTGCAAGTGGGAAGCACACAGGGTTTTTAGCAGCTCTGATTAAGTCAGGTTAGCTCTGGTGGGGGCAGAAGTTAAGGTGTGGTGCTTTGGATGTTCACCCTTCCGTGGACTGTGACATCTGGTCAGCTGCAAACCTGCTGTGGTCTTGCCATGCTGTTAAGAGAGCTGTTGTGGGCATTCAGTTCATCCTGAAAGGTTTCCCTTAGGTTTTTGTCCTACATTTAGGAAAATGACCACTCAACCTGACCACAGCACTATTTCATTGGCCTGCATACAGGAATCCCCATTTTGCCCTGTAGAGTTGGCAAACATTCCCAAGTCTGTTTAACTTCCTGGATTCCATTTTATTTTGGCCCTAATCCATGCTCAGTTTTCAAGTAGGCATTTCTATTTATAGTGCTTACAGAAAAGCAAGATTTGTTCCTTGCAATGAAATCTTTCCAAAAACTTTTTTTTTTTTTTTTTCCAATTTTTTCTTTCTTGTGACCTCCTAAGGAAGTTTGATGTTCCACTCAAAACTGAACAAACATGGTTACAGGAGATGGGGCTGATTAGGGGATCGAGCCTTTTCCAGGAGGCTCTATGCCAGCTAGTTGGAGGTGGTTCTTGCACAGTTAACACACATCTTGTGGCTGTATCATTATCACTGTTGTACCATTACAACTGGTGCTCTGCAGAGGTAAGGTTTCTGTAGCTTAGCCAAGTGCTTGCTCTTCTAACTCTGATGAAGTACTCTTCAGATGAACAACTATCTGCCACAAAGCAAGTGTACGAAAGAATATTTTGTTTTAAAAGTTGATTGTATAAGTGTACAAGGTGCAAATAGCTACTTTATACCTGCCAGAAAACCTTATACCCTTTCACCATAGAATTTAGAAGACAATCAAGATCAAGGCAAAACCCTGGTCAAGCAGCGTTTTTGTACCAGATCCCTTGTTCCACATGCTAGTGTGTGACTTTCATCTTTTTGTACAGGACTTTATTTCTAAACCTTATTCTCTGAGAAACTATCTCTACTATAAAATATCAACATTGTGTACAAAAGTGTATTTTAGACTTACAGTGTTCTTGTCCTCTGTGGTGACAAAAGAATAAATGGAATGTTGAAGGTCAGTCATCATATTCTGATTGTTGACACCTTCATACTAATCTATATGTCTTTACGCTCTGCTGCCATTTACCTTGATATGATTTAATGTACATGTGGACTCGGGAGGAAAGGTTTAAGGTACAATATTTACTCAGTATATGATTGAACAAGTCATGGCCAAACACTTTTCAAACAAAACCACCTTGAGGAATGTAAAGTCACATCTCTACTGATGGTAAGTAAGGATAATTACCAATTGCATATCATCCCACACAGCTAGAAAACATGACTGTGCAACCACAGGAAAGAGAATGACTCCAAGGGCAGGTTGGAAACCATTTTTTTTTTTTTTTTAATAGGGCAATAAGTGTTGGACCCACCTGACTCCTCCCTCAGGTTAGATTAGGACTCCTGGAATAAAGAGAATGGTGGTTTCTACAGGAGCGTGACTGTTTGGCAGGAAAATACAGGTGAACAGTTTTGAATTAGAGCAATCTCAGTTGTGATCTGCAGTAACTCAGCCTTTACTGGAAGTTACATGGACCTGGCTGCAGCCAGATCTGACGAAGCATGCCATGAGTCTTTTCATATCCTCAGAGACCTACTGATTGCATAGTTGTATCAGAGTCCACCTTGTCACGTTACCATGCTCCTCTTTAATAGGTGGTATTTCTCCTGGCAGGTTAGGTTTCCAGCTGTTATGCTAGCCAGGACAACAGCTAGCTGTTACCTGTAGGCTTAGACCAGTTTTAGGATTGCTGGTTTCTGGTGCCTATCACTAGCATGGTTATCTCAAAGTATTGCTTATTCTATATATTCTATATTCTATATACATATATATATATATAATCTATATTCTATATATTCTATATATATTCTATATAACAAGCAGATTTTCCTGGGAATTCCCTCAGGAACTGAGCCAGCACCGGTGTCCCACCACACCTTGGATTCTGGGCAGCTGTGGGACCCAGCAAGGTAAGGAGCCTCCTTTCTGCAGCCTCAGGTAATGCTGGCCTCAGCAAGGCCCTGCCTGCCAGTCTACCGCAGATAAGTTATCTGTATTTGTTTGACTTTTACTCTCAGGAGACTGGGAAGCCTTTACTTTCCAGGAACAAGTCCTATTCAGGAAACACACAGGACTCTGCTCATTGTCTATGCTGATTTTCCTATAAGTATTAAAGGTATTAATTTATTAAAAGTGTTAGTTTATATTGTGTTTTGGTTGATTCACGTGCTTGTTACTTGGATTAGGTCAAGTTTTGCTTTATTGGAGGTTGCATGACTAACCTCTCCTTGCACTGATTTGGGATGACATAGTTCCCCCTTTTTTGCTGTTCATCTATAAAGTAAATTCAGATATATATATATATATATATTAAGAAATTCTTTTTATTTTAAAAGTAAGACACATGTATTTGGTATCAAAGAGGATGACAAAAGAGACTTGTTGGTCAAGTTTTAAGCCAAAATGCGGCTTTCAGTACTATGTAAACATAGTCATTTTAGTGACTCTTTATGTCTCCCTGCTGATACTTAAGATAGTTTTCAGAGAACACGGAATCACAGAATTGTAGGGGTTGGAAGGGAACGCCAGAGATTATCAAGTTCAACCTCCTTGCCAAAGCAGGCTCCCTAGACTGGGTTGCATAGGTATGTGTCCAGATGGGTCTTGAATATCTCCAGAGAAGGAGAACTCTACAACCTCTTTGGGCAGCCTGTTCCAATGCTGTGTCACCCTCACCGTTAAGAAGTTCTTTTGCATATTGGTGCGGAAACTTCCTATGCTCCAGTTTATGACCATTTTCCCTTGTCCTGTCCCTGCAGACTGATGAAAAGAGGTTGGCCATGTCCCTTTGTCTCCCACACTGAAGATCTTTATAAACATTAATTTTGCAAGCATTTCAGTGATCTTTCTGTCAGTAATCCAAGAAATCCAAGAAATATCTGAGATTTCCAAAAGTTCAAATAATCAGGGAGAAAAAAAACACAACAAAGATTGTGTCTTTACAGTGCCTTGTTCAATAGGGGCTAGCCCCATAAATTTTCTTCCATCTGCATTTCTTCTCCCTCATCCCCATGACATCTCCATTTCCAAGGGCCATCCTGTCCACCTCCCAAAGGTCCTCCTTTGCCAACCTTCACTCCAGCAGTCTCTCTCAGCAATGCTGACCACATGGTGACTCCTCAGGCTGGTGGTCAAATCAAAATACACTAGGACAACAGATCTTTTTGGGAAGGTAAGAACAATTGTCTGAGATTATGAAACCATTCAACCTTAACTAAATGTTCCATTTCATTTTGGAGGGCTTTGTAATAAGACTTGTAATATCTTCAGAGGTTCTTTAATAAGAATAGTCATCATGAGAGTCTTTATGTACTGATTTTACGGGAACTCTGTTTTTAACTATTTTGCAAATGCTTCAACTATTTTTCCAATATCTCCATGCAGCCACAGACATGGGGAGTCACACTTCCAGTAGCATTTGTGTTCAGGCCGTTCTTAGAATTTGTCACCTTTCCATTAAAAAAAAAAAAAAATGCTGATACCAGGAACCAGGGTCTTAGAGGACTTCATTTTCATTAGGCATTATATTTTAATTTTCTTTAAGAACAACACGGAACAAAACCAAGAAAAACACCTCAAAGTTGAAAAAATCGGATTCAGAAAAATAAAGGCAATGAAAGTACATAGTATTGGTTTGGATTGGAATGTAGTTAGAAATTATTTTTAAAGGATTACCTGATTCAGGTCAGAATTTCAAATGATGCAGTAATCAGGGATCTGAGACTTCAATTTGTGTACTTTGCTACTTAGTACAAATCATACCCTTATCTTGAGCCAGATTTGCAGCCCAAGATGTTGATCCTAAATTAGATATTTCAATTTATATAATTCAAAATAAACACAAGTTTTTACTTTTTGCTGCCTTAAGTCAAATATTTTCAGCCTATGCTTTATAAGGAAGCAAATAGTGCTTCCATTTTCCTTCCTTGTCCACCTTAATTTAATTCTTCTCAATTCCTCTTCTCATTTGTTTTATTTTTCTCTTCCAAAATATAATGCTTAATATTTAACTGGAAAAGTTGCAAATCACTTGTAAATACGAATTTTAGAATTCTTTCCCTACACAAATAAAATAAAGGTAGGAAAAAGCATGAAACAAAGACTGTTATTTCTGAAATGAGGTGGAATGGCATTTGCCTCTGCTTCTGAGACAAAATATTGTAATCAATGAAACTGTAATACAGACATGTCAGGAATACCAGAAGTCAAATCCATTCTGAGAATTTCACCATTGGTTGGACACTCGCAGGAATAAAAAGCATGTAGCCAAGGCTCCCAGGACTATAATTCTGTGTTTTGCTGCCTAAATTTTGTTCACGTCTCTTTTTGGCTATGAAGTATCTTTCTCTTTGTGCCTCAGTATTTCCATTTCTCCAAGAACAATTGCAGTGCTTCTCGGCTTTGTTTAGACAGCAAAAGAATAACTTCCTCATGGCTTGCAGAACACTGATCTACTGTCGTAACCTGAGCTGCCAAGGTAAATCTTAATGGAGTAGACTGAGTCTTTCATGTCTTTCCTGGGTTTTGCAGCAGCAAAGGCACCACCATAAGCAGAGATAGTACTGAAAATGTCCTCGAAAATTTAGTATGTAAGTTGAGATGAATTGTTAACAGTACATTTCTCTTAAAGTATCTGGGCAGTGCACGGAAAAAGCCAGTTACTGTGTGAAGTGTAGTCCTGCTAAGGAGATTTACAAACTATGTAATGCTCACCTGTCTCAGCTGGACTAGAGAAACAAGGGAAATAAATCTACACAGGAGTCTGCTTTAATTCATCATTCTATTTTATGAAGCATCAAACAGCATTTTCACCAATTAGCATTTAACAGCAGTTAAGAAAGGATCACAGGGTTATTGAAGGAAAAGCCAAAAACCTATTTCATAGTCACTGATTCCTCACTTGGCAGCAGTGCTCTTGGAGGGCTTGGGTAGTACCCAGCAATTGCTGAGCTATTTGAGGAAAATCGTGTAAATCTATAATCCAGCGGTAAATCTGAAAGACAGAAATATACCACATCTGATTAGCAGCACAGTCCATATCACATAAAAAATAAGCCTGTGGTGAATAGCAGTACTTCTTAAGCCCTTGAGCTGTTTGCTTACTGGCATTAGAAACTCAATCGGATTGCATGATTACATATTTATTTGACATCTTCAGCTGTCCAAGGAATTGACTTTCAGAGTTTATTCAACTGCAGTAAAGGATATTGAGTTCCTTGATTGCTGAAATAATGCTAGTCATAGAGAATGACTAGATGAATACTAAATAATCAAACAAAAATCTTTTTCAAGCCTAGGTGGAATTTTCCTACTAGAACAGATTCAGGTTCTTTGAGCTAACACTCTTTTATCTCAGCAATCAACTGATGAGAGCCCCATTTAAAACAAAGAAGTCCTTTTTATATTTTTGGGATTGTTGTAGCAAGATTCCCAAAATGAACCCACTTTGGGACTTTCTTGAAGTTCAGTGTTAACACCATCATTTTGTATCAAACCTTCTTGGAAATTTGCACTCGTAACTTGGCATACCCATTGCATCCACTCTGTTAAGGACACTGAATACATTTAAATAGGTCTGAACAGTCAAAGCTTTCTTTCCTTTCATTCTTTTAAAAAGACTTCACAAGCAGCAGTGCCTCCTTCTACAGGAAACTGATACTTCTCATACTTACTTCTTATTCAAAGTTCAAGAAATCAAATAAAATAAACTCCATACATATAAAATTTTATTCAACAATCACTCTCCTATTAAGTGGGGAGGCGGGGGCGGGGAGGAGCAGAGAGGGGGGGAGCTCATTTCCTACCTAGTTTTCTGTTTAGAATCAAAGCAAAACAAAAACTAAACTCATCTGAACCTTTTTTTTGGGGGCGGCGGGAGGGAAGGATTTGAAATACATTTGGGCTGATATTTAGATACTACAGGCTATAAAATTTTTTGCATTCAGCTCCTTTAGTGAAACAGAAAAACACAGTCTTAGCTGTTTCAGATCTGAACAACTGGAAGTTCAGGTCTATCTCAGCAGCAACTCTTACGCAGGACAGCAGAGCAGCATCCAAGCCTGCAGCTTTAAGACCACATAAAACACAATTGAAGCAAACAAATCAGAATCTAGATCCAGTTGAGAAATCAGATAAAGACTGGAATAAAGCAGTAATGGGAGGATACTTGATTGCAAGTGAATTACACTCTATTAAGTGGATTACTTCAACTTGTCAAAGAAGCACATTTTCTCATTCTGTCTTAGCCAAGGGATTCTCTAGGGCTCTTTCTGAGCACAACAGAGCAGGCAGATGTTTTCTACTCTACTGAGCAAAGAAGCAAAGATTCTGAATATCATTGTAAACTATAAAATGTACATGCCTTTTTTTATCTAAAAGCTTTCATTAGCTTTTTATTCTAGTAGACTGGAGTCTCCCAGGAGCAGTTTAACCAAAAAGCAGCAGCATAAGTAATGCAGACTTGCTGTGGATTTCCTTATCTTGAAGAAATGAACAGTTACATCAAAATGGCAATTCTGTTGATATTTCATGGTAAACTAGCTTTAAACAATCATCTTAGATGCTGAACCAATTTTGAATACGAAGTACAGAGGACTCCAACAGAGAATAATCAATTTTTACATATTCAAAATCCAATCTGCCCATTTAAATATTGCTTTTGTCTGAGCAAGTTGACTGGATGAACAGAAGGTATCCATATGTAAAACTGTTGTGTAAGGCATCACAGAAAGTTACATGAAGCAGCTGCTATTCATCACCTACAATGCTGATTTTATGTCACAAATATAGGAAAAAATCTTCCTGTATTTTCAGGTTTGTTTTCATCAGAGATTTCATTTGCTGCATCTGCCCTGCTTGGAGTTGTGAACACTTCACACTACTTTATTTCAGTGTGATATATTTATGTGAAAGCCCTGCACTGATCCAGAAATACGTAATTGGAATCCTAGCAGCTACAAGTAAATCAGAGTGAAGACGAAGGGTAATTATTCAAAGAAAGAAAAATGAAGATTTTTATTGAGGGGGGATACACAATTATGAAAAAATGGAAATCCAGAAAATGTCAGAGAGGAAGTGTGCTGTAAGTTCTTTTAAACTTAGCTCTTCTGAAAACTCTGAAACATCACACAAATTGCAGTTGCCTTGGATGGTGAAGAATTCATGTTAACTGGACACCAAAGCTCAGTCCAACTTCTCTGGATGCAGATGGCAATGGTATCAGCAGTGCTGGCTCATCAGCAAAGAACTATGGTAGAGGTCTTAAGTTTGCCTCCTGGACACAGCAGCAATTGATTTTGTACTTGGTCTTATTTTCTACTGTCACTGGTGGCATAGAAGAGAAATGAACACTGCTTGCTTTAAAAAAAAAATAATAATAAGAGATTCATAATTTGATAATAAAGCAAGCCTCAGTTAGGAAAGAAATGAGTGCTCATTTCCAAAATGATTGTTTCCTAGTATTTTTACCAATAAATATCTTTAGGCTCTACTACCACACACGTTCACAGCTGCTGCTGTCTTGGCAGAGCTTTACATCTGGGCATTCTCTTCTCACCCAGCCCTGATGGAGAACTGTAGATTAGAGGGGGGCACATACACAGCTCTTTCTTACCTACAGTGGGGGTCTGATCAGTGCTGATCAGCCTACAGTGACAATGGATTCAACACAAACCTCAACTCATATTGCCACTCACCTAGGAAATAAAACAACAACAACAAAACAACAACCACAAAAGAACCCCATACAAACTAAATAGATTTGGGTTGGAAGAAAGATCTAGCTGGCTTTACCCAATGAGACTCTGTAGGGACCTAAATCCTGGGAATTTTCTATGGTATAAGGGTAATTCCACCAAGACTCATCTTGTTCCCAGCATTCACTTTCAGTGCCTAGCCTCCTAAAAGTCAAACATGGAGTGCCTCTATATCCCTTTCTAGATCTACAGAAATTCTAATTGCCAGATGTAGCCTTGGGAATATTCTTGCTTCCAAAGCAGAGCCTCAGTGTTGGTGAGTGATAAAAGCCAGCTCCCTTCACAGTAGCTGTGCAGGCAGAGTATCCTGGTGCTTCTCAATGGCTCAGCTGGTGCTCAGGGCTGCGAGCTACTGATCACAGAAGGTCCCCAAGGTACCCTGCCCAGCCCAACCTCAGTTGCAGTGCTTGAGCAGCTCTAGTTTAAATAAAATGGTGAATGTGATGTCTGAACAGTAACCACTACCAGGTTTATTCCAATCACTAAGGTGCTGTGTTCCAGCTACTAAGATCCAGCTGTTAAGTGATATAAATTATAATGCTGTGCTCTGATGCTTTGGCATATCCATATTCATACATGTAGGTGATAAAGATGGATTTATTTTGTACTTATTACTTGACTATGTCTCAGTTACTATTCCATTATTATAAGCCAATAAATGAAAGCCAAAAGCTCCTACTGGGAAAAAAAAAAACACAAGAATTGTAGCCACAGGGTAGGAAGGGAAAACCACAAGAAGAAGGGAAAACGTAGTATTTTAGATGAGTAATCAGGAAAATATTTGAATAACTGAATGGAAGTCAGTTATAATCTAATCCTGACAATAGCCTTGCTTGATAAACAATTCTCATATTTAATCTTTCTCTGAGATTTCCTTGAACAAATCAATACATGAAACAATTATAATCTTAACTAAGGTCTTTAGGTGGAAGATATTTCTCCAATTAAAAGCACAGTCCAAGCCTAACGCAGATTTCTCTCAAAAAGCACAGAAGAAAAATCACAAAGAATTTTGCAATAGTGACCACAAAAAGGAGAACAACATTCTTTTGCAGTGACAGCACAGCAGCATGCTGGTGATGCATGAGAAGCCCACAGACGAAGGATTTCCCACTCCTGGAGGCAACAGGGCTACAGAAACCTTGTAGTAAAGAGAAGGGCAGGACTGACTGAACCCATGTGTGCGCTTCTGATTGCTATCAAGGGACATGAGGGTGTGGGGGAGAAGCAAAAAGCTCTTCAGCAATATGATTCAATTTTGAAAACCTTCAAACTGCTTAATTGTAGCAAATATCAAAACACAACAATCTATCACGTGGCTCAGCATGCAGGTAGCACAGCTATATAGGCAATCATCACCCAATATTAATTATGTTGTTTTTACAGGAATTCCAGTAATTTACTCTAGTTTAGGAGCTTTGCCATAGAACTTTGCTTCTATTGAAAAGTTGTTGTTGAAAAAAAAGGAAAATATTAATTAATATTAACAATTTCTAAAATAATTTCTTAACAGAAGAGTAAGCACACTTTTGGCTGCACTGCCAAGAGAACTACACTGTGGCCTGCCAACCTACAGGTAAACAGTACTGAGTGTTTTTGGAAATATGAAATATTTTTACCTTCTGACCTAGTTCTTTTTTATAAAAATCACAACAGCTCTTGCAGCAAGAGCTCGGAATGTAAAGGAATGCACTAGTAGCAAAAACAAAAAACCCCAGCGATGCAATTAGATTTATCTGATAGCAGTTATTTTTAGCAAGACATCTCAGGCAGATTTTCCTAAACACGATATCAAATGTTTTCTGTATTAACTCAAAGCACTTGAAATACTTAAATGAGCATTCCTTCTACCAGTTACATGAAAGTCACTGCTGCTGTTTGCAGGCTCTGCAGCTGAACAGAAAGAGGAGGAGGATACACATCTGTGTGGGTGTTTGTTTGAATTGAGAGGATCAGCAGCAGCAGGGGGTCTAGAGAAGGAAGGTGGTAAAGCTTCTCAGCTTGGATGTAACTGGCACTCGCAATGTGCTGTTTCAGCCAGCGCAGTTTATGCATCCATAGATAAAGACTAATATTGCTTTCAGTGAAACTGCAGAATTTCTGCTTTAATAGCAATCCTTTAACAGCTTTTCCCATTGTGGCTGCACTGTTTGGAGAAAATGCCTGCTGCTCCGCCACACATAATCATAGAATCCTTTGAGTTGGAAGGGATCTTTAAAGGTCATCTACTCCAACTCAT